TATGTACAGCTAAGACCAATGCTTTTAAGTTAAAACTCTGTAATGGAAGTGACACAGGACCAAATAATATTGCGTAGGCACATAGTTTTTGGGTATCGTACTCTAATTTGATATGAAATAATGCTAGGAGAGTTGTGGTGAGTGAGTAATTTACATAACATACACATTAACCACCACTTTCAGGCATATAATTCCAGATTGAAGTAAATATACCATGTGATTGAAGTATTCTGTATTATTGTTAAAGAAGACTGGGTGCTCTAGAAATATTTAATACTTATCACACAATTGTAATCGAATGACTTTGGTTATATTTTTGGTGCGTCATAGAATAGTAGAATAGCAATTAATTGGGGCTTCTTATTTTAAACATTTTTATCAAAATGTTTTGTGTTTTAAATTTCTGGCTGTTTGGGTGATCTGTTGATATTTTCATGATATAGGAGAAGTAAGGTGAAACATTACTACCTTATTTCTGTTTCTTGAAGGAATTATTTTAGTATTTCCACTTTAGGTATAATAATAACTCTAGGATTAAAATACTCATTAAGTGTTAAGTGTTTTATAGTTAATGGTTTTATTTTTTAGTTTTTTGGGTTTTTTTTTTTTTTTTTTTGAGACATGGTCTTGCTCTGTCACCCAGCCAGGAGGGCAGTGGCACAATCTCAGTTCACTGCAACCTCATCCTCCTTGGTGCAAACAATTCTCATGCCTCAGCCACCCAAGTAGCTGGGACTACAGGCATGTGCCAGCATGCCTGGCTAATTTTGTGTGTGTGTTTGTAGTAGAGACAGGGTTTCGCCATGTTGGCCAGGCTGGTGCTGTCATCATGTGATCTGCCTGCCTCGGCCTCCCAAAGTGCTGGGATTACAGGTGTGAGCCAGCATGACTAGCCTTATATTTAATGTTTTGAATTTTGTTGAATAATGTTTAATTTTTATCACATCCCATTTTGGTATTGAAAGATCAATTTTACTTTAATAAGCACATAGTAAATGTATTTTATTTGTGAAGATTAACACTTAACCTGGAAGGTTCATTTTCACTTTTTGTTAATTTAGTGACTGCCAGTTGTGATGTGAAGTTCATCATTGGCTTCACTCTTCCAGGTAGAAGTTACAGTTTGCTGGAGAGCAGTAGTACAACTTTTCTATTTTTTCTCTTTTTTAACTTTGAAACAATAAAATACATTTTTAACAGTATGCACATGCACATACAAATAAACCATGTAAAGAATACTTATAAAATGATCATCTCAAAAAATTAGAATATTGTTGACCTCCCAGAAATCATACGTATATTCCTTTGCAATCATTTTTCTCTTCCGTTCCTCCAGAGATTACTATTTTGACTTTTCTTCTTTGCTTTTCTTATGACCTGCGCATATATCAAACAAAAAGTATAATTTAGTTTTGTATATTTTATACTTCAATAAATGGAATTATTATATTTATTTTTTTCACTTCTTTTGTTGAGCATTATTTGTGAGATTCATTTGTATTAGTTGTATGCAGCATCCACTCCTTTATTGTCCTTGTACTGTGTTTTTTATTTAATTCCGAATTCCATTTTATATTGAAAGTGTTCTGAAAGGACAACTTCATTTCTTTACAATTATCCATTCTTTGAATACTTCAGATAGTACCAAAAGTATTCCTTTTGGCAGAAAGTGAGTGTGGAAGTAAGTGGTTACTTTGCTTTTTGTTTTAACACATTAAAAATGTTCTGATTAGATTGAACAGCTGTCTTACATGTGAAATGAAAATGATACCTGAAAAATTGAGAGAATCTAAGGATGGCAGAAATTCTAAACACTTTTTGTCATTTATCATGGTCTTAGATATGAATACTCTTCCGTATGTCACATTGCCACTCAGTTGTATCCTATTTGTACCTTTGTGTTTTGGACAGTTAATTGCTGTAATTTGTAGTAACTTATCTCACACTTTTTGGAATCAGAAGCCTCTTTACATTTAAATATTATTAAAGTTCCCAAAGTGTTTTTTTTTTTTCTTTTTTTTAAAGAGAGACTGAGTCTTGCTATGTTACCCAGTCTGGTCTTGAACTCCTGGCCTCAAGTGATCCTCCCAGCTTGGTGTCCCAGGGTGCTGGGATTATAGGCATGAGCCACTGCACTGGGCCTCAAAATGATTTTTTTGATATAGGTTACATATCCTATACATGTGCAGAGCTTTTGACCCAGCTATCCCATGTCTAGATTTATATGAATATTCATGTCCAAAAATACAAAAATACATATGTACAAGGTGACATTTATAACATTGGTGATTGCAAAATTTTGAAAACCTAATTGACTGTAGGTAGGAGAGTGCTTAAATTCACTGTGGTGAATCTACACAAAAGAGACTGGCAGCTTTAAAAAAGAAATGAAATATTTGAGAAAAAAAAAAGGTAGTATTTTAATGGTGGAATGAAATATATATCCATGAGTTTTTACTGATATAAATAAGTTATCAAATATAAAAATAAATGGCATATGGGCAGACAGCTCTTTCTTATAGAAGAATTTCGATTAATAAGTATAGATGGAAATAGACCAAAAGAAAATCACCATGAGACAAACTGATGGTTGTGAAAATTCGTGTGTGAAAGTTTGAGGTTAAACATGACTTTCATAGTCTCAAAATGTTTTCCCCAAGATGTTTATTTAAACAGAAGACTATAACTTTTCAGTAAAGAAACCTACCAGAGGACCTTAACAAAGTGTTTAGAGTTAACATTACCAATAATAAAGAGACATTGACATCATGAACCCTTGATATAATGCACTGAGAGGGACACGGTATCATTTCTGTGTTATTCTTTCCAAAAATGCATAACCTTATTCGAATAATGAGAAATGCCAGACAAACCCAAATTCTGAGACATTATACAAAATAACTCAGCAGTACACTTTAAATATGTCAAGATGATGAAAGACAAGGAAAGACTGAGCAGTTTCAGATGGATTTGAGGGGAAATATCAACTAAATGAATTGTGGGATCTTGGATTAAAGCAGATTTCAGAAAAAGGAACAGAATTAGCTGGGCATAGTGGTATATACCTGTAGTACCAGCTACTTGGGAGGCTGAAGATGGAGGATCACATGAACCCAGGAGTTTGAGGGTTGTGGTAAGCCCTGTTTGTGCTACTGCACTTCAGCCTACGGGGCAAAGTGAGATCCTGTCTCAAAAAAAAAAGCCAGAAAGGACATTAGTGGAAAAACAACGAAAGTATGATTCTCGATTTGGTTAATAGTAGTGTACCAATGTTAATTTCCTAGTTTTGTTTGTTTTACTATGGTTATGTAGGCTGTTAACATTAGAGGATCCTGGATAAGGAGTTAGATGGGCTCTGCTGTTTTTGCAGCTTTTCTGTATGTCTGTAATTAGTTCAGAATAAAAATTTTATTTAAGAAATTTATATATATCAGCATTTTTAATCACCACTTCACTTTGCAATCCCTTTGAAATAAGTATGCTTTTGAATTTAAAAATGTCTTACTACCAAAATTAGCGCTACAGGATAGTTAGCACAGGCTTTTTTCCTGTACCATTCCTAAATTTGTAATGCAGATATTATGTTCTCCATCTTGTTGACTTCCTAAACCTATAGTTTAATTAAGAATGTAGCTGATCAAGTTGATCATTCTAAAGATTCGACTCAAATCCTTAAGCCATGTTGATGTAATATGACTGTTATACCTATACCTAGAGATGAACTTTGACCTGCCTGTATCCTTCAAGCATAGAAGGTTTTTTACTTATTTTTAGACATAATTGAGATGTCTTTCATTTTTTCAATATAAATTTATTGAATACTTTATAAGTGTCAGGCACTGTTGCTAATCTTTAGTTATTCGGCACTGAAAAGACATGTTCTCCACCCTTTGGAGCATATTGTCTCTTAGAGAAACAATAAAACTAAACAAATAAGTAAATATCAACCAGGGTAAATACTACAAAGAAATAAAGAGAATATTGTGATAGATGATGGGGGAGGGAAATATGTTGGGCAACAAATTTAGGTAGTGACATCAGAGGAGCTCTCCCAAAGGATATAACATTGAGATCTGAAAAAGCCATATAAAAAGTGGAGGAAACAGTGTTTAAAATGGAGGTTATCCACAAGGCAATGAAAACCTTGGCATTATCAAGGTGGAGAATAGGTAAGGATCAGATCAAAAGGGACCTTGTAGGCCATGATAAGAAGTTTAGATTTTATAAGTAGTGAAACATTCTACGTAAAAAATTGACAGGATCTGATTTGCATTTTCAGGATACTGTTTGTTTGCAATATTTGGAGAATGGTTGGAATAGGACAAGAGTCATTATAAATAAAGTGTTTGCTCACTATTTATTTCAAGCCTTTTTTGTGCTGTGCAGTTTTCTATGCTAGAAGTAGTAATATTGCACAAGACAAACAAGCTCCTTACTCTCAAGATCTCACATTCTGGTAAGGGCTCTGTGAGAGCTGAGGAGAGAGGTTTTTATTTATATTAAAACAAATTTTTTTAGAGACAGTCTCTGTCATTCAGGCTAGAGTTCAGTGGCATGATCATAGTTCACTGCAGCCTCCAAGTCTTGGACTTAAGTGATTCTTCTGCCTCAGCCTCTGGAGTAGCTGGGACTACAGGTGTTTGTCACTATACCTGGCTAATTTTTTTTTCGATGATGAAATAAGAATATTTAATGGCACGGAATGATATGTACACTCAAGGTTCAATGTTTTCAAAACATATCCAGCACTTATGGCTGCCTGTGCAGAGTAAAAAGATAGAAGGGTATAACAGAGAATAATTTTTACAATTTATAAAGTTTAATGCAATTGAGAAAGGTTTCTATAAAAATTGTTAAAATATTTTAGAGGGCAAATGCTTACTTTGCATAGCAATGCTTCAGTTACCTGGAATGCCCTCTCTACTTTCTTCCAAGCAAATTTTATGAAGCACTAAGCTCAATGGATCTGCTCCAAGTGTCAACAAGGTGAACAACCCAGTTAAAATGTGGAACGCTTCACGAATTTGCGTGTCATCCTTGCGCAGGGGCCATGCTAATATTCTCTGCATCTTTCCAATTTTAGTGTGCTGCCGAAGTGAGCACTAATTTTTTTTTAAGTAGGGACTGAGTCTTGTTGTGTTGCCCAGGCTGGACTTGAACTCCTGACCTCAAGCAGACCTTCTGCCTTGGCCTCCAAAGTGCATGGATTATACTTTACATTACTTATTATAACTTTTTTTTTTCTGCTGGACGTCAACAGATGTGTTGTAGTACAATTACAATAATTTCAGTTATGGTAATTGCTACACACAGAACTGAATCAGGTAAATTCCAGCAACATCAAGAACTTTTTTTGTGGTTTTAATTTTTTTTTTTTTAAGTCGGGGTTTCACCATGTTGGTCAGGCTGGTCTTGAACTCCCAACCTCAGGTGATTTGCCCGCCTTGGCCTCCAAAGTGCTTGGATTACAGGTGTGAGCCACCACGCCCGGCCAAAAACTTTTCAAATAAAACATGTAGAAGCATAGTCTTAGCTGATTTGACTGTTGGTGATTTGAGGATTAAAAAAAGCATTCTCTTGAAAGCCTACCCATCTTCTAAGGGTCAAATACTTTTTCTTGTGATGCCTGCCTAAATCCTCACAGTTGGAATTAATCATACCATCTGTCATAATTTCATTAGTTTCTGCTTTGATTTTGGGACTTATTTTATATTACTTGGTATGATATACTAATTCTGTGCTGATTCCTTCACATACTTGAGTTTGGGAATCAAGTCTTGGTACTTCACATATAGTTGGCACTTCGTAAATGCTAATTGATTTTGTTATCTGTAGATGTCAAGAACTTTCAGTCGCATGCATTTTAGCCCAGTCTCTTAGTCTGTTTGGGCTGCTATAGCAAAATACTGTATACTGACTAGTTTGTAAACAATAGAAATTTATTTCTCACATTTCTGAGCCTGGAAAGTCGAAGATCAAGGAACCAGCAGATTTGGTGTCTGGTACAAGCCCACTATCTGGTTCATAGGTGGCACCTTCTTGTTGTGTCCTCACATGGTGGAAGGGGCAAGGTAGCTCTCTGCGGTCTCTTTTATAAGGGCATTAATGCCATTCATGAGGACTTTGCTCTCATGGCCTAATGACTTCCCAAAAGCTCCACCTCCTAATACCATCACATTGGTGATTAGATTTCAACATATGAATTTTGGGGGCATATAAAATTCTGATTCTGATTCTGATCTCATCTGATTCAGATCATTGCACCTGGCATTTGGAGTCTCCTATTAAGCCAAGCTAAGTGTTTTTAACCTCATCTTTAGGTAGGATGCTCACCTGCATGGCTTCTCTGTTTTACCCAAGGTGACAACAGTGTTGGTGTTCTTTGAATATAACATATTGTTTTCCTAATGTATACTCTTCTACTTAGGCAGAATCTTTTTCCTGTAGATTTCCAGTTTTACTAAATAAAGATTCTGCCTTAAAATTAACCTTTGTTGATGAACTCTCCCTGAACTTGTTACTGTCTTATCCATTGTTCCTTAGCCTGTATGTTGAATCATGCTTTATTGTTTTTATGCTTTTCAATACACATTGTTTTATAATTGCCTCTGTGTGATTTAACCAATTTAATTTTCCCTTCTCAACTAGTTTATATCTGCCATAAGTGAAGAATTACTTTAAGATTTCTTTTTAGTCTCTCTTAAACATTGTTTTACATAGGTTCATTAATTATAGCTGTACTTACTGAGTTATAAATAATAAAATTTAATTTAGTTATAAGTTTTTTGAAACTGAATGGTATTCAGTTCAGCATCCTAATAAATATTCTCTAAAATTCCATAGCTTATCCTTTAAGAGCCTTATACGTTTTAACAAAGGTAATGCCGTCTTCCCTTATTTGAGAATGTTAATTCTTTGAGCAGTAACACTCAGATATACCTTTCCACGAGGCTGTAAGTTTTAGTCCATGCTAATAATGCAAAGCAGAGTGGACTGAAAGGAGGCTCTTATCAATAGTGGTTTGGGGCTTTGTTTTTCTTTATAACAAAGATAAGTATCTGAATTTAACCTTGAAAGAGGTTGCTGTGAGAGAGATTAATGGAACTGCTAAAAGAATGCTGTGGTGCTATGAGTCAGCTCACTGGAGACCAATGAATATTAAGAATAAAGTTCAAAGAAAGTGAAAACAATAGAGATGGGGAAAATCAACTTTACATATATTTAAGCATATTCTCTTCTTAGCTATATAGTCAATGAAACATTTGTGTTTTTCTCTGATATTTGATTTAACTCTGTCTACAGAAAAAGTTTCTTCATTTTAATAAGAGATTTTTTTTCTTTCTCAAATGAACACTGCTTATTCTTCATTTTTAGATTTGCCAGGGGGATAATTATTTAAGGAAACCTTTTTTAAAAATTAATATTGACATCTTTTTAGAAATACTATTTCTAGAAATAGTATGTGGTTTGTCACATGCTAGATATATCTAGTATGTTAAGGTTCTTGTTTTTGCAAAAATAAATTTTGGTTTTCTGTTTCTAGAACTTCTCCTTCACCTGTTTAAATGTTTAATCCTGTATCATTTCTTCCTTTTTAATAAAAAGTTTTCCTTAGTAAAACAGGGCTTTTTCTATATAGAATATTGTCATGTGTGAGTTTTTATGGTGTTCTTAATGAATATTAGAATAACGGATCATAATGGAAGAAAAGTGTGCATATAAATCAGCATCTGTTTTTACATCCCTGTGGATAGTTGCTGAAATTACACATGAATATTCTCTTTTACTGCAGGTGAAGCACCTATACAAATTGTTAGTTGTGTGTGCAACTTTTAAAAACTCCCATCTCAAAGTGGGCCACTTTTTACCATTTAGAAAAATAGAAAAACAGGGCTTACTATTATTTTTTTAAAACTCTGCAGTGTTTGAAGTGGATTGTATAGTACTTTTCCCTCTGACCAAATGTCAGTTCACTTTGATAGCAGTGAAATTTATTGAAGGACTGTTTATTGACAGGACTAATGTGCTCTCCATAAAATAATGAATAAAATTATTTTAGGCACTAAAATTATTAAATAGTGAACTACTAAGTTCTCACTTTAGTGAAATGGTTTACTCCTTGCCTTTGTGTTGTGTGAGCTCTTCTTGGTTGCATTTGGAAGAAGTCTCCAATAAGATTCTTTTTTTCTTAAATTTTATTTTTATTTTTAATTATAATGGCTACATATTTATAAGGTACATGTGATGTTTTGATGCAAGCATGCAATGTGTAATGATCAAATCAGGATAATTAAGGTACTCATCACCTCAAGCATTTATCATTTCTCTGTTAGGAACATTCTACTTTTTTAGGTATTTTGACATATACAACAAAGTGTTGTTAATTATACTTGTCTTATGCCACTGAATACTAGTTCTTTTATTTTTATTTATTTATTTATTTTTGAGACAGAGACTTACTGTGTTCTCTAGGCTGGAGTGCAGTGGCACGATCTCAGCTCACAGGAACCTCTGCCTCTTGAGTTCAAGCAATTATCTGCCTCAGCCTTCCAAGTAGCTGAAATTATAGGCGCCTGCCTCCATGCCTGGCTATTTTTTTTTTATTTTTAATATAAATGGGGTTTCACATCTTCCCCAGGCAGGTCTTTAACTCCTGACCTCATGATCCACCCAACTCAGCCTCCCAAAGTGCTGGGATTACAGGCGTGAGCCACTGCACCTGGCCTAGTCCTTTTATTTTTTAAGAGACCAGAAGCAGGTATGCAAATAGTCCATTTTCTATGACCTCAGTGGCAAAGGTCAACTTCTTATGGACCACATCATTTGTCTGTTATTTTAAGGAAAGGTTATTTTTGGGATTTTTTTGGTAAAGATTTTGAAAACGTATGCTTGTTCTTTTTATAAGCATTACAGATCAAAGATTTATAGTGCCCTAGGATTAGGTAAACCCCATGTCCTTGCTCAAGTTTCTTATACTCAGCTACCATGATTTTCAAGATGAGAACCCCCCCAGTCTATATGGGATATTTGTACTATATGCTCTGTAAAATTTGTTGTTATAAAGCATCATTTTTATTTGTGTGTTTTTTCTGTTTCTTTGATGAAATAAATCTGCTTTTGACTTTGGTTTTTAACAATTGAGGTTATAACAGAGCACTACTCTAACTGAGGAGAGATATTTGAGGGGTTTTAAAGAGAAAAGGGAAGAGAATATTTTTAAATTTTAATCCACAGTATTGCCTTAAAGTAGTTGGTGTGTAACTAAATTCTGTCTTTATATTATGCTAGCTTTCTTTTCTTAAAATTGACTTCATGAATGCATCTGGCTTCAATTTTTTTTCACACAAAACATCTGAGAAGTTGGTAAATGAATTCTGACATGTTGAATGATTTTAATGAAATCTCCTGCATGTGTATATATGCTTAGGGAATGGGGAAGAGGGAGGCAGAATAAGCAGTGGGGTCGAGGGTAATAAAGAATTACTGTCTCTTTACATTAAGGATAATGGATAACAGTTAACATTAATATCTTTCAGAACAGGTTAAAGTCTATCTGGTAAGTGGTGTTTACTCCCAAGGAAGCAGCTCTTAATATTAATTCAAATAAATGACTTCCGTTACCTTGTCAGAGTGAGAGTTGGGAGAGGGAGGAGAGAATGTAGAAGATTGTTACCTTGGATAATCTTTGTGAAATCTGAATTGACCTTCTTTCTGTTGCTGAAAAGGGCAAAAGCATAGTAAGATCTGCCATTATCTAGTAGTTCTTTTTTATGTTACTATACTATAGAGCCTTTTAACAATTTTTGAGGGAGATGTTTGAGGGAACAAGAAACTAATTTTTAATTGCTGTTTCTTGTTTTGCCTTTGCTTTCCTGATTAAACGTTTGATTGGAAAGAAAGGCAGTGGAGGCTAGAGTCTTACAGCTGCAGTGCTGCGAGCTTGGTGTTGACAGAACTGACATCAAGAAGCGAAGTTCTGAGAGATGTATTAGGAGTGGTATCATGGGAGTTGCTGTAGGGTCCAGTCTCTCCCTGTTAATCTGGCTGAGTGAAGCTGTAGTTAGGCTGTCCCAACTTGTGCCCTTATCTCTTTCAATATAGGA